AAATGGGGAAAGAATCAAATTTTGGAAAGACTCTTGGTGTTCTGAAGTGTGTCTGAAAGATGCCTTTCCTCTCTTGTATCAAATTTCTGTAAATCAGGACTCCTCGGTGGCTGAGAATTTCAATGTGGATGGTAACTCTTTCAGTTGGAACCTAACTTGTAGGAGGCGCCTCTTTGACTGGGAAATTGAGGAGTATTCAATTCTGTTGGGCCTGCTCCAGAACCAGAGGATTGACCCAGACATGGAGGGTGCTTGGAGATGGAAATGGGAAGCTGATGGCATGTTTTCTGTTAAGTCTATGTTCAGTAAGTTGATAAGTTCAGGTCAGGAAAACTTTCTGGCTAGGCAGATTTGGAGCTCAATCAGTCCTTCTAAAGTGATGTTTTTGCTCTGGACAATGGCTTTAAATAAATGTCTATCCAAAGTTAATCTAGTGAAACGTGGCATTCAGATTTCAGACATGTCATGTGGCTTATGTGGTGGGGTAGTAGAAACTACTGAACATCTGGCCTTACATTGCCCAGTCTCGAATTATATTTGGAGGCATTTTCTCCAAGCTTTGGAAATCAGCTGGGTAATGCCAATTTCTGTGAAGGATCTGCTGTTGGTGTTGGCAGATTGAGGGTCTCAGCAAGAAAGGTATCTTGGTTTGGAAGACTATCCCAGCTGCTGTGCAGAATTTTTCAGGGCAAAGCTAAATCTTCAGAGGAAATGGTGCAGAAAGTTGTGGGTAAACTTCTGTCCTGGGTGTCGGCATCAGAGGTGTTTAAAAATCAGAATTTGAGTCTATTGTTTAGATCTCAGAACTGGTTGTATCTGTAATTTGTGGTGGCTCTAGGCAGCCTCTAATGGCCTTGGCTCCTTTGTACTGGTTCTTATTTTAATAAATTACCTTACCTTCTCAAAAAAAAATGGTGAGAAAGCAGTATGGGGTTACACATATGAACTCAAATAGATTTAATGATTGACAATGAGCATGATTGTAAAAACACAATGGGTGCAGAGATCTGCTAATGGGTTAGCTGATTCTTTAGCTAAGCAAGGGGTTAGGATCATAGCGCTTAACAGGAATCATTTGTATTGGGCTTGTAACAGTTATAGTGTTATACAGGTAGAGTAGTAATCCCTACCCTACATAAGATGTATGTAATTTGTCCACTTTTTCTGATATTTATTAGTTAAATGCTTCAGATACATATAAAAAATATTTATTTGTTAGAGAGGTAGATAAAAATATCTGCAATTAGCTCTATTTAATCGATTGTGCTGTAGGATTTATCCTGTTTGAAATTCTAGCAATCAGCCAAGTTAAAATTAACAAGGCTATACACAATTTTTGTTTTATGTAAGAGAGCAAGGGGCTGCAACCAGCTTTTACAGTTTACACAGCGCTTAGGTTGATTGCAGGCACTCTTATTTATTTTATTTTATTTTTTGTGGACTGCAATCAGCCAAGTTAAATTTGACAAGGCTATGGGCAGTTTCCATGTTTCATTGTTTTGCTTCTTGATTTGTTGGAGACTATATAGTCAGCTAAGTTAGTTCTAACAAGGCTGTAGGCAGATTTCTCCTGCTACACTTAAATTTATTTTAGGAAGTTTGTGTAAGATGAATGTAGAAAGAGAAGAGAAGAAAAAAGAGGAACAGTTAAGAGAAGGAACTATGCTCAAGAAATACTCAGATCTCCTAGGTCTTATTTGGATATTTACATGCTATAACAATTGTCATCTACATAAACATTGAGGACCAGGAATTAAAGAAGGCAGAGGAGCATTAGCATGTAGGAGAAGAAGATGATCTCTATTCATTGCAACTTGTTCTCTGAAGAGAGGCTCAAGTAAAATAGGGTTGAGATTCAAAGAAGTTGGCATCCATAGAATTATACCATTTATTAGAGACAAGATCAAAACACTTAAGGGAACATTGGTTGTGTGAGGTCTAAGAACATACAATATCAAAAGAACTTCCTTAATAAAAGTATATATAGGAATATACCATTTGTTAGAGACAAGATCAAAAATAGGGTTAAGATAAAAAATAAGTGGTTGGATTACCCAAGAGCACTTCCGTAATAGCCTTTGGATCCAATTTGGTTGTGTGAGGTCTAAGAACATGGATAAAGCAAGTACATCCAAAGACCCTTAAGGGACATTGAAAGGTGATGGTCACTACATACAAGATCAAAAGAAGACTTAAATTAGAGAACATGGGGTGACATGCAATTAATCAAGAAAGTAGCACGTAGAACAACTTCACCGAAAAACTTTTGTGGCATATTGCATATGTATACTAAGTAATGAGCTTGTTACTTCCATGAGATGTCTGTTTTTCCTTTTAGCTAACCCCAGTTTGTTCTGGTGTATAAGCATGAACCCTTTTGTTTTGCTTTAATAAGTTCATCAGCATTTCTTTTCATGTCATTGCATTTTGCATAGCTATCTGCAAAGAAACTTGGCATTAATTCCTGTATATCTGACTGGAATTCAATTAATCCCTTGTGAAGGTTAAGTCGCAGCCAGTAGTGGACAAACGCAGGAACCTCATTTGGTAATGCTTTAAGTTTCCTCACTGATTGTAAAAGTAGAATTCCTATGATTTCATTTCTGTTATTATTTTGACTTCAGTCCTTGATGGATATGGGTTTGCATGTTGTTGCTTTACCTAGAAAAGTTACTATTTCTGTGTTATAGGTGCATGATACCAGCATCATGAAATGAATGTTGTGTATTCTTTTAGTCAGGGAACTAGACTGTGTTTGACTTGACTACTATAGACCCAGTGATTACTATGGAAGAGAAATGGGAGGCAAGAGGTCAGACAGAAACCTGAAGAATGCACTACCAAAATTGTTTTATTTGGCTGAAATTTGTTGGTGTTGAAAATACACTCATAGAACTCTAATATTATATATTTTTGGCTCAATCCAACATGTGGAAGTGCCCAGCTAAAGGCTTAAAGATGAGTGATTTTTGTGTTCTGCAAGTCAACAGATTGACCATTGGATCCCATTTGTATTTATCTAGACAGTCTTTTAGTAATTTCCAGTTTCTTATCTTTAGTTTTAGTAGAAGTAGAAAGCTATAGAAGTTTCTATTTTGTTGAAGTATAAATAGAAATAAGTATTAAGATTCCAAGTAGGAATGACACATAAACACTATGTGGTGTGAGTAGATCTATAGTCCTCGTAATAAATAAGGTTATTAAGGTATACTCTGATTGAGCTTGTTGGAAACCAATCTGGGTAAGAGCAGTCTTAAACTTGTCAAACCAGGCTCTGGGTAACTACTTAAGTCCATATAACTACTTCTTAAGCAGTTAAGCCTGCAAACTTTTCCACCCTTCTCATCCTCATAAAATCCAATGGGGAGACTCATATGGACCTCCTCATTTAACTTCTCATTCAAGAATTATTCTGAAAATCCAAATGGTAGAGCAACAATGAATAGGATGCAGCAGATGACAACAAAGCTCTAACTGAGTTCATCTTTGCATTTAGTGCAATGGTCTCCAAGTAATCAACTCCATACATCTGGGCCTACCCCTTTGCTACCAGATGTACCTTGTACTTTTGAATTGTCCCATCAGCTTTGTATTTTATAGTATATACCCATCTGCATCCTACAAGTTCCTTCCCATTAGGCAAATCAACCACCTCCCAAATTTAATTTTTAAGCAATGCCTCCGTGTCATCCACCATAGACTTCCTCTATTCAGGATTAGCTTAGGCATCAGAAATAGTCTTGGGATTAAATTATGAGGAAATAAAAGCAATGAAACCTCTATAGGAAGGTGATCAGTAATCATAAGTAGGGTACTAAGAAATGGAATGGGTAATGCGTATGACTATGTTACTTACTTTTCCTATGGCAATGCGAACATCAGGGTTCAATAAATCAGTATGATACAGAGCTTGATCTGTTGTCCTGGAGTAGGAGCTATGTTCTTTATTTTTCAATAGACCTGTAGGATTCAAACAAGAATAAGGTTTAGGAACATGAAACATCAAAGGAACAAGAAGTATTCAGAGCAAGAGTAGGAAGTAGAATTGGAGAAGGATTAGGCAAACATCCTTCTCCCTCTCTCCAGAAACACAAGGAAAATAGGGCAATGACTCAACAAATATAACATTTAGAGAGATATCAATGACTAGAAATAGGGTTTGTAGAGAAGATGGGCCGAATGGCCCATAGACTGTCATTTTATGTTATGTTATGTTTCTCTCTGTTGTGGGCCTTATTCTGGGCCCATACTCTGTAATAGTCTGTTTTTTGTATTTTCCTGCTCACTCAAGGGCCTCTCTGTAATTTGTA